GGGTGTGTGTCGAGTTTGTATTTTGTTGTCCTTGACACGACCACCACCACCACCATACTAAGCAGTGTGTCTGAAACTAGCGGCTCACGCTACACAAAGAATTACGACAAATACGCGCGAGTGGTCGGGCGTGCTTTTGTTTAATTAGCCATAGCCATATTCTTAGTTTTTTCGGTAAAGTCACGTTGAAGAGAAACAACAAAATAACAAAATATATATAAAACAATAAAAAATTCTCACGACGTTTCGACCATAACTCAAACGGTCATCATCAGGTGTGTCGGTTTGCATAAATTTATTTTGAAAACGGCATATTTATTTATATATATATATAAAAAAATAACGTTTGCGTCACGCGCAACGATGGCAGTTTGCCAGGACTAGTCCATCTATTTTTTTTTTGAAAAGAGGAGGGGGGAGACGAAATTTGTTTTTATGTATGCTGTCTGAAAGGCACTGTAAGCGTGAACAATCAATCAAGAACTGAAATGATTTATCAAATCTTTCCAATGATTGCTAAGATAGAATCCATCTTCTCGGTTGAAATTGTCTCTGTGTTTGTATATGTGGATAGCCTCATGAACGAATCTCTCATGGAAGCCAGATGGCTTACAAAGAACCTCCGTCTTGGAAAAGTCAATGGCATGTGAGCCTACTGAATTAGAACAATGATCTGCTACGGCCGAGGTGTTGGTCCTACCGTGTTTAAGGTCTGCTTTATGTTCACGAATGCGGTCCGAGATATGGCGTTTGGTTTCTCCAATGTAACTACTACCACAGAGGCAACTTAGTTTGTAGACACCAGGGTATTGTATGTCCGGAATCACATCTTTTACAGACGGAACCAGATCACGGATTTTATGTAATGTGTTGAAACGGACCTGGATCTTGTGTTTATTCAAGATTTTGGAGATCTTTTTTGTGATCCCAGCAATGTAGGGTAAAGTGATGGTTTTGAAAGGCTCCTCAAGAGGGTTCTTCTTCATGGTTTGAGTGATAGCTTTGCGGATTGTATAGTCGGAGTAACCATCAAGGGTATTTCCCTGTCCCCAGACGACCTGCTTGTCAGTTTTGATGTAGTTTCCTTATTCACCAAGGTTCCTGTACCTGACACCATTGCAATCATTGAAGACTTGGTTCATCAAGGACTAAACACTGAGGTACCCCCCCTGGTGAGACACTGTTTAACCAATACATACTTCACTTGGAATGGAACTTTCTACAAACAAACTGAGGGCACCCCAATGGGCTCCCCCCTTTCTCCAGTTATAGCTAACATTTTCATGGAGAAATTTGAGACTGACGCCATCCAGACTGCCACTCTGCGCCCAACCTTATGGAAGAGGTACGTGGATGACACTTTTGTCATCTGGCCACATGGCCGGCCTGCTCTAGACAAATTCTTCGACCACATCAATTCCATACACCCAGCCATCAGATTTACCATGGAAGTCGAAATAGATGGCAAGATACCTTTTTTGGATGTCCTAATTAAAAAGAGACCTGATGGTTCAATGAGCCACTCTGTCTACAGGAAAGCTACCCATACGGATGCTTATCTGAAACCGGATTCCCACCACCATCCATCACAGAAGAATTCTCTCATCAAGACTCTGTATCATAGAGCCCAATGCATATCCGACCAGGAACACATAAGCAGTGAACTCAAGCACGTACACCAAGCTCTTAGGGCTAATGGTTACTCCGACTATACAATCCGCAAAGCTATCACTCAAACCATGAAGAAGAACCCTCTTGAGGAGCCTTTCAAAACCATCACTTTACCCTACATTGCTGGGATCACAAAAAAGATCTCCAAAATCTTGAATAAACACAAGATCCAGGTCCGTTTCAACACATTACATAAAATCCGTGATCTGGTTCCGTCTGTAAAAGATGTGATTCCGGACATACAATACCCTGGTGTCTACAAACTAAGTTGCCTCTGTGGTAGTAGTTACATTGGAGAAACCAAACGCCATATCTCGGACCGCATTCGTGAACATAAAGCAGACCTTAAACACGGTAGGACCAACACCTCGGCCGTAGCAGATCATTGTTCTAATTCAGTAGGCTCACATGCCATTGACTTTTCCAAGACGGAGGTTCTTTGTAAGCCATCTGGCTTCCATGAGAGATTCGTTCATGAGGCTATCCACATATACAAACACAGAGACAATTTCAACCGAGAAGATGGATTCTATCTTAGCAATCATTGGAAAGATTTGATAAATCATTTCAGTTCTTGATTGATTGTTCACGCTTACAGTGCCTTTCAGACAGCATACATAAAAACAAATTTCGTCTCCCCCCTCCTCTTTTCAAAAAAAAATAGATGGACTAGTCCTGGCAAACTGCCATCGTTGCGCGTGACGCAAACGTTATTTTTTTATATATATATAAATAAATATGCCGTTTTCAAAATAAATTTATGCAAACCGACACACCTGATGATGACCGTTTGAGTTATGGTCGAAACGTCGTGAGAATTTTTTATTGTTTTATATATATTTTGTTATTTTGTTGTTTCTCTTCAACGTGACTTTACCGAAAAAACTAAGAATATGAATTACTGCAGTCACGAAAGCTTTAAATCAAAATTTAGCCATAGCCAATTAACAAATCCTCGCGGCTTAGCATTGTGCGGTGGCTAAGTTGCCCTTTCGCTTGCTTTTGGGAGCCCCTCACCCACTGAATGCGAAGAATCCCAAGAATAGTAATCTGCACGCATTCCTGGTCCGTGATGTAAAAAAACAGAGAGAGAGAGTGGTGGGGGTGGGTTCCGCTTCTGGCGGTGGTGGCGTGAATTACGACGATGTTGTGGGGGTGTGTCCAGGGTGGCTAGGAGATGTTAACTACCTCGCCTGGTATACAGGAGGTCGTGGGTTCGGTCCCGACCCTGACGCCTGCTGCTGCTGTATATTTGGAGTTTGCGTGTCTCTCTCTCATCATCATCATCACGGTGGCTAGGAGATATTAACTATCTCGCCTGGTGATACACAGGAGAGGTCGTGGGTTCGGTCCCGACCCTGACGCCTGCTGCTGCTGTATATTTGGAGTTTGCAGTGTCTGTCCTCTGGGTTCCCTTCCGCCCCCCCTCCCTCTTCCACATTTTGAATCAACATCACGCGTTTAGAGTGTTTGGCCACTTTGTTGAGCTATCATCATGTCGTGGCCAGGTCGCTTCTGAAAAGGAAAGTTACGTAGCTCAGTGGGCCTTACCTGGTCAATATATATATTTTTAGTTTATAGATTTGTGAATCATGGCAGGTGCAGGCCCTGGCACTTGTGTCTCCGTCACCAATAAACAAATAAACCAGGACCCACATTGAATCACTGATCCGTCCTTTATTAATCACCCCACGAAAGCACCTCCACCCCCAGTAAGCTTCCCAACGTTGGCTCCCCAACGTTCCGTGTAAGGTACAAGACGAACCATTGGGAGATGCTTTCGGATGTTTGCGTTTAGATGTTGCGTTTTAGTCAAACCCCATTGAGGCCAGAGGTGTGTGCGTACCCCCACCGCAAGACAGACCCGGCTAATATAACTCCAGACAACACATTTACTGTATTTGATGATGATGCTGCTGCTACGTTTCACAATGGTACACGGTCACAAAGGACATGCAAAAAAACTCAACACATTCCTGCATAACACTAGCTTAATTACGAGGGAAATTGCACTTCTTCATAGAGCACTCACAAAATAAAACTGGCAAACACAACCGTCAAAAACATCAACTTTGAAGACATCAAAGCATGTCAAAGCATATCTAACTTCATAAATCCGATATCAATAAAAAACACCTCGTGCCAGAGCACAAAACAAACTTTTCACGGTACATGCATTACTGGGACAACACACTATTGCTATAAAATGCGGTTAACAAAACAAATCTAACTTACTTTCTCTAGTAGGGTACATTTTAACTTGTGGAATGGGACTTTTGATATGCGCACCATTCTCATAGAGCGCAAGAAAATTGTTTGTGAAGGCAACTAGGATATTGTGGAGTACTGGAGTTTTACATACGGTATATTGCTTTCATAATGAATTTTAATATATGGTTATGGAAGGCTTATCCGTTAAACATGAGAGAGTTGTCATGATATTCCATTTGGCAGTAATGTATGTGGCTGATATACAATTAATGTCCACGTGATGATAAGCCACTTCGTTGAGCTATCATTTGAAAAAAAAAAAGCTACATAGCTCAGTGGGCCTGACCTGGTAAAATAAAATAAAAACTTTAATAGTTTTAAGACAAGGGTTAGGGGTTTTGTGTTTTAAAATCCATTAAGTTGTGTCATTCACGTGTTTGTGTATCGTTTGTCCCCATTGTTGAGCGAATCTGGTCGTAGAAACACAAGACTCGAGCAAATGGACAACATTCATGGGTTTACGTCACCACAGATTTAAATGATTCAATACATCTATCAAACACTATTAATTCAGCAGAATAGTTACCGCATTTATTTTTTCACCCACAACTAAACAAAAAAAAATCCCCTTCTAATAGTATTTACAAATTACTGTTCTCAGCACATGCATCTCTAATCCTTTAATGCTTAAACTTCTGAATACCAACACACACACACAGAGAAACCTCTAGATTTAAGCCGTGAAAACCTCTCATCTGACAACTCCCCCATCCATATTTTGTCAGGAATTTGCGGGTTCATTTGCCCCCCCCTCCCTCCCGGGTTTGGAGGGGGAGGGGCCGTGGGGAGAGGGGGCACCGGGGGGTGGGGGTACCAAAATCTCTTTCAGAATTCCCAGTGCGGATAAGCGTCACGCCACATCTACACTGAGCGTACCGCTCCCACGTGACCGCTCTTTTCCGCTGCGCGCCGATCTCTGTTATGAAATACAACCGCAAGTAGTGCCGGTTGCGGGGGAGGAGGGGGGGGGAGGGATTCCCCCCCCCCCATCCTCCCGCCACTTTTCTTCCTCTCCTCCCCCTCCCCTCACATTCTGCAGCCTGCGTCATATCACTACGCCCAGTAACAAGGTGAGTGAAGCGGCCGCTGCAGCCACTTGCTCCACGTGACAAATTCATTCTTACGCGGCAGTGCGACGCGTAGCCGTTTGTTGTTGTTGTTTGTTGTTGTCGTGGTCGCCGCCGCCGCCGACAACGACGGCATCGTCGTCGTGGAAAAAATAAAGTTGCCGCTCGATTGTTTTTCTTTTGCTTTTGTTTGTTTGTTTTGTTTAAATAACAATTCACGAAACGACCTTACGACCCGGAGCAGCGGCTCCGTTTGCTTCGCATGAGGGGGGGGGGGGACTTCGCGTCTCGTCTCGCCTCGAAAAGGTAAGCGAAATAAACTTTTTTTTTTAGGGAGAGGATTTAACGAGCCGCTCTCAAAAGACGACGAACGAACCAACGACGAACGAACGAACGAGAAGGCTTAAAATGAGGAACACGTTCGGGTGGTTTGTTTCGCGAGGAATGTTGACACCTCTAAAAGAGCCGAACGACGCTTGCGTACCACCACCACCACCGCAAACAACAACAACAACCCGTGTTGTTGTTGTTTTGATGAATTGGTAAACGCGGAGCAAATTAATATTGAAAAAATTAAATATTTTTTGTAGTAAAAACTTTTTGTTGTTTAAAGTTACGAACCGAGCCGCTCCCGTTATTAGCAGCGCTGGGTCGACGTCACGTGAGGACGGAATTGTTAGTGACGTCACAAAGACGTCACGCCCGATGGAAACTTTTTTGAGTTTGTTTTTGTTATTGTTGTTTAGTGTTGTTTAGTGTTGCTAGACTTACGAGCCCCTCGCCATGAGCGCTCGCGTGGTGGGTGTGAGCCACTCCGTAAAAAAGAGCCTCTCCGCTTTGTAACGTCGCATATTTGCGATGAACAAATGTCGCGTGTGTTTGTGTGCGCGCGTTTGAATTTCTCTCGACGTATGCGACGATGCCGGACAACAGGCGATAACAACATGTGCACATAGACAACAACAACAACATAGCTTCCCCACGTCCTCCTTGGGGGGTGGGGGGCAAGGGCTGTGAGTGAGCACCTCATGAAGAAATGAATGCACACACACACACAGATGTACACGCACAGACATGGTCCAACACACGCATGTACAATCACATCTATTTGAGGAGCGAAACGAAAGGATGTCTCCACAAATCTGGCTGCCGCCTGATGATGCTGTTGTTGTAATTACTGGCGAAAACGTCGTACACTCAAGATTGTAAATGTTGTGGCTCTCTTGACACACAATCGGTGTTGCTGTACTCGTAGCGAATTGGCACGTTCTCTTTACGTGACAAACCTTACTAATTGGCTGTCCGGTGGTGGAGGGTCGAACGACACACTCATATTTTACATGATCCAACCCCCCCCCCAAAAAAAAAAAAACTATTATGGATTCTACATGTACATACAGTACACGTGAAGACACGTGTAGACACGTGTACACATACATGAATGTTCATACGTAAATGGACGTCCATACACATTCCTTAGAATGTCTCTCGTGTCTGTAACGACCCTCACGTTGATTCCACAGGATTTGCCATTCGTTCGCCTTACGTGTAGAAGTTGCTACCTTGTGTGTATGCTAATTAAGTCCCTTCCCATTGTTTTGTTAAATTGTCGCCTTTCCCACACCACATACTTTCGTGGTACCGATCTACGTGGCAAATAATAGTGAGGAATCCGTAACCACCCCAACTCATTAAAAATGGTTGATCACTTAATTCATCCGGTATGAGACCGCGTACAGAGAAATCTCGGTGCCGACAAGTAAAATACCTGGTCTGTACCCACGTGCCAGATGTCATTGAGTATCATTCCCACATACAGAGTACGGGAGGGGCCGGAGTCATCGTAATGACGATCAATTCACCGCCGGATGAAGGCTTTGAGCGATTTGCCTGTTTGTACGCCGATGTTTGAAATCGGTCGTAAAAAATATATATTTGTCTTAACGTGTTTATCTTTGTAGGACTAAACAATCCAGTCGGGTAGTGTAGGGTAACGTGACACGAATTGGAGGCATCAAACCTTACCACGTGGCCGAAATTCCCCAAAATAAATATGGATCAATATTGTACCGTGCTAAAATAAAAGTACGGTTCTGTACGAAGGTGTAGACATGTAACCAGTTGATATCACATCATGGGACAAACATCCTTTTGTAACTTTGTTATAGTATTTGTAATCCTGTAAAGTTGTCTTACGTGTATTCATCCAGCAGTTGATAGTGGCTGATGGTAAAGTAAACACGTGCAATGCTCTTTAAAGCAGTGCTGATGGTATGTAGTGTCCCTACTACATACAGTACGTTAGGTTATTTTTAATACAGGTTATATTTGTATAAGTGAGTACAGTACTATTTTTAGTGGCAGTACTTACTATTAATATCACATTGTAATAATAAACTTACATTTGCACGATGTATAGTGAATTACAATACAGGTATTTATGAATACATTAGTAACATTTTTTGGATTTGTATCGGCATACACTTGTAACGCATTACAGCGTAAATAAAGTTAAAATAAAAAAAGTCGCAGAAAATTGTGGATGTATGATGATCACAAACAATAACGTGAAATGGCTTTCGTTGGTTCCACGAAAAAGCAGCCACGTGTGCTGCTGCCGTTGTTGTTGTGAGCGGCGCGTCTCATAGACTTGAAAAACTGTTGAAACTAAAAATGCCTCCATTGTGTTTGTTAATTCCAGAATTAAAAATGATCCTGTGATTAAAAACAACAGCAACAATGCTAACTATAATATCTTGTAATAAATAAATCTCAGAAATATAAATGTTCGGCCACAAAACTTAACCCATACATTTGACCAACTATTACTGTACTCTAATGAAGTGCACTTTAAACTTAGGAGCTACATGTATGCTGTGTGTATTGTACATAACTCCCACAGACGCATTAATCTGGTAATACCCAGTGAACATTAATCCTAAATGCAAACTCTTAAAAAAATAAATTACAACTGCCAAGGTTTCTCGGAGACCTTTGCGAAAATGCCACGCCATAGATTGGCGTGGCATCACCATGCCTGAAACTCTGCAGCTGTGCTGGAAGGTGGTGGTGGTGGCTCTCTTCTGAAGGAAGTACACGAGGCTTGTGATGTTTAAGGGCACTGTTGAATTAAAACGTTTCCTGTCTTCGGGGGGTGTCATTTGTGCTTTTTAATTACAGGCAGTAGGGGGGGAGGAATGCATAATGCTTACATGTTTTCTCCACATTAAACCTGTGTGTGTCTGTTATTAAGGCCAAGACCAGTTACGATTATAATGATTTGAACCGGTCTTGGGTCTCCTCTTGGTCGACTCGGCCTCAAATGAGTACCCGGTGCGGTGTGTAAAAACATCGCCACTGGGGAGACAAAGGGGGCTGGGCGTGGTGCTGGCCACCCACCCCCTCTTGTGCCATGCCGGCCTTCATAGGTGCTCGCTAACAGCACTTGCCCCGACGGCCTGTTAAGGCTATGTGGGGGATCTTTGTCTTTATTTTTTTTGTTAAAGTTGTACTCGTGAAATGAAGTAGGACATGGGCATGTTTGCCTTCCAAGACGTCACTGTTGTTGCCGCTATGCCTGGAATGCATGAATCTTGTTTTTATATACAAAATTATGGTACTATAAAAAGGCTGAGGTTATTTCGCCACCACCATCGTAATCATTGACAAGCATTTATTTGTATTTTTAAAAAAATACCGAGTAACTTTAACGTTGGAGAGAAATAAAACTTACGTTCTTCAAGACAGCACTTTAAATCGTGGCCTCGTCAAAAAGTGACAAGCAAGTTTAAAAAATTTCAGTTGCTGTATGAAATATTTTCTAACAGTGTTCAGATTTTTGATAGATTGTAAAAACTAATTGCAACCTTGACGATCAGTTTAACACGTAGGCTTTAGCGACCAATATTCATAATAAAGGTTTTTGGGTTTGGTCGCGTAAGTATAAATGTGTCGAAATCCTCCACCACCCGACACGGCCAATCGGTAAGTGATTTGTCACGTAAACAAAACGCCAAATAGTTCACTACTTCAGCCCACTTGTGTGTGTTGAAGAGTGAATCCACAACATTTACAATCTGAGTACGATGTTTTGCTGGTAATTACATCCAGCATCATCGGGCGATTTGCTCGAATGGCAGAATGGCAAATTGCCCGATGATGCTGGATGTAATTACCAGCAAAACGTCGTACTCAGATTGTAAATGTTGTGAATTCACTCTTTAACACACGGCCGGTGGGCTGAAGTAGTGAACTATTTGGCGTTTTGTTTACGTGACACATCCCTTACTGATTGGCCGTGTCAGGCGGTGGAGGGTTTCCACACATTTATACTCACGCGAGCTAACCCAAAAACATTGATTATGAACCTTGAAGATAATTGCGATGCGGTTATTTGGAGGTGCGATTAGCTGCGATGCCTTGCGGCGCTTCAATGTGGCCAACGTAGAACAGCCAAATAGGCTGTGGCCCAGCTGCATGGATCGAACTATCCCGTAGTATGTAAGAGGCGTCTTTGACGACAGCGGTTTTCTCGCCGTGCCCAAAAATATCGAACGAGTGTTTCACTAAACGTCCCCAGCAGAACTCTCCTGAAATGTCCTGGGACTTAGCTTCGGCCTCCTAGGAAAACAAAAAAAACAACTCAATAAATTTGCCCGTGACACTTTGTACGTACGTATGTATGTGCGACTTCTTTCGTGCCGTACGTAGCCAACCGTGCTAATCGGAGGTTGTGGGGTCCACATTGCGAGCAGTGCAGCTAAATCTCTTGCCACTGTACCACAATGCCCCCCCCCTGCATCCTTGGCTTCACTCACCACATTCAACCCGCACTACAAACCAGGATGCCCTAAAGCATTGTCAAATTCTTCCTATGATGCCCCCCCCCCCATTCGTTAGCGGGATTGACAAAAGAGGGCTGTACTTGTATGTTTTGATTACATGGCATGTGTTTTTAAAAAAAAGATATCACTTTACACGCTGATTTCGTGAAATGTTTAGAAAATTCACACACGGCAGCAGCAGCAGCAGCAACACGTTTTGCCGCACGTACGTGAGCTGTACGCACCACAAACTCTCGCTTCTCTCAAACCTACCCCCCCCCCGCAACCCCCTGGGCCAGCTTTGATTAAGTCATTGGATGCGATGCAATACGACCGTAATTGTAACAAATGCCTGGCCCCATGAACGGCCATCATAAGTGCCCCCTTTATGCCCCGTGCCTTCTAGAATCTTGAGCCGTGCTGGTAGCGATGGCAACCGCACCTCACTCACCTGCCAGAGGACTGGTTAACTGCATATTTACT